GTAGCTCATGCCTCTAATCCCACCATTTTGGGAGGCCACGGCAGGTGGATCACCTGAGGTCGGGAGTTCGAGACCAGCCTGACCAATATGATGAAACCTGTCTCTGCTAACAATACATAAATTAGCTGGGCGTGGTGTCACGCACCTATAATCCCAGCTACTTGGGAGGCTGAGACAGGAGAATCGCCTGAATCCGGGAGGCAGAGGTTGCAGTGAGCTGAGATCACACAACTGCACTCTAGCCTGGGCAACAAGAACAAAACTCCATCTCAAAAGTAGTAATAATAATAATAAATTAATCAATTAAAAAAAAAACAATGTACGCAGCGGCTCACACCTGTAATCTCAGCACTTTGGGAGGCCGAGGCGGGCGGATTACAAGGTCAAGAGATTGATACCATCCTGGCCTACATGGTGAAACCCCATCTCTACTAAAAAACAAAAAAAAATTAGCCGGGTATGATGGCGGGCGCCTGTAGTCCCAGCTACTCGGGAGGCTGAGGCAGCACTTGAACCCAGGAGGCAAAGGTTGCAGTGAACTGAGATCACGCCACTGCACTCCAGCCTGGCAACAGAGTGAGACTCCATCTCAAACAAAACCAAACAAAACCAAACTTCTTTAGAAGGAAAAAGGGAGAGAGGGTAACCTTTGGTCATTTCATTAATTTTGGAGGATAAGCCAAAAGTTCAGGGTATGGTGAAATGAAAAATGAGTCCTGACCCTGCATATCTAACATGATACAGAAATGTGGAAGGTAGTACTTGTGTTCTTTATTGGGTTAATTTTCTAAAATAAATATTTAAGTGAATCATTTTTAGCTGTAAATTTTTTGTTGTTGTGTGTGTTCATGTCTTAAAGGTCTTTATTTAGAAATGAGTGAAACAAATTCTTTTTCTTCTTCTTCTTCTTATTTGAGACAGAGTCTTGCTCTGTTGCCCAGGCTGGAGTGCACTGGAGCGATCTCGACTCACTGTGACCTCCACCTCCCAGGTTCAAGTGATTTTCCTGCCTCAGCCTCCCTAGTAGCTGGGATTACAGGTGTGTGCCACCATGCCTGGCTAATTTTTGTATTTTTAGTAGAGACGGGGTTTCGCCATGTTGCCCAGGCTGGTTTGGAACTCCTGACCTGAGGTGATCTGCCTACCCTGGCCTCCCAAAGTGCTGGGATTATAAGCTTTAGCCACCGTGCCCCACTAGATTCTTATTTTTAAATAACAAATGGAAATGTTCTGATCCGAGGCATTTTTTTAAAGATCTCCATTTAGTTCAGTTTTGCAGGTTCAAACTATATATGTATTGTTAGAACTGTGTTCGAGGCAAAGCATGCGCTGGACAGTCAGGACTTCTGTGGGCCAGCGGTTTTTGTCCAAGGACACTGTGCTGTTAGTGTACCGTTCAGTGGCTGTAGATGAAGCTGAACATGTGTGTCAGATTTGGGTAGTCAAGAGATCTCCATATTATAATGTGTTCCTTGATTCATTAAAATTTTTCATATAATAATAGCTTGCTTTAGTAATCATCGAACAGTACTTACCATTCAATAGATATTTGTTGACGCTCAGATCCTCTTCCAGGAGCTTATATTCTAGTGATGAGGACAGACAGCAAAAACGTGAACACGTAGTTAAGGGTTTCAGTACATAACTAAATCAGTCTCCCCTGTGATAAGATCAGGTTGTTCAAGGCAGGAGAATGACCATGGTTAGGGTTAGACTGGGGAGGGAGGGCTGCCTCAGCTACCAGTGCTCTGTGTCCCCAGCTCCCAGCAACTGCTGGCTGGCACTCAGTAACTGTTGGTTGCATGTCACTTGCATGCAGCCGTCTGGGTGTCTTAGTTATCCTGCATATGGTTAAGAACTAAACGATTTAAAAACTCTCAGCAATCAGAATAGGGTTTGCAAAACTTGGGACAGTGAAGCTCAGGTGCTTTCCTCACGGATTGGTCCTTTGGGCCCTCATTGTGCGGGCAGCGTGTGTGGGTGTCTTGGTCCTCAGCACATTAGAAGCCTAACTGGGTTCGGGTGGGGATTGAGCTTGAGTGGTGAGCAGTGCTGGCGTGCTCTGATGGCCTTTGAGGAGAGGGACAGCCACCCAGACACCAGAAATCAGAGGAGCTGTTGTCTGCAGCATCCAGCAGAAGGCTCTAGGGCCTTCCATGTCTTGTGGGGCAGCCTGTTGATTTGTGTTTCATAATGCTATTTAGTTTCAGAAGTCTGAACAGTATATATTAGATCTTTCAAAGCCTTGCATCTGAATGCATTAACACACAAACAATAGTGACCATTAAAGAGTTAGATTTTAGGCCGGGCATGGTGACTCACATCTGTAATCCCAGCACTTTGGGACGCTGACATGGGCGGATCACCTGAGTTTGGGAGTTCGAGACCAGCCTGACCAGCATGGAGAAACCCTGTCTCTACTAAAAATACAAAATTAGCCGGGCATGGTGGTGCATGACTGTAATCCCAGCCACTCGGGAGGTTGAGGCAGGAGAATCGCTTGAACTTGAGAGGCGGAGGTTTTGGTGAGCCGAGATCGCTCCATTGCACTCCAGCCTGGGCAACAAGAGCAAAATTCTGTTTTAAACAAACAAACAAATAAACAAAAAAGAGTTAGACTTCAGCTTCAGTCAGCTGGGGTATTCTAATTGAGAAACTGGTTTTTAAAGGTAACATTTAGGAAATAATTAATATTTTACAGACAGCACTACAACTTCTAGTTTAATAAATCTTAATGGCACCTGTATAGACTTCCAGGTGGGACTGGGCAGGGCATCCGCATAACTTGGGAAGGCAGTTGGAGATGTAAGGCAGAGTCATGTGATTGACCGTATTCACACAACTCACGTGCAAAGGGAATTGGACTTAGAGTCCATGTATTTCGAACCCAAAGATTCTTTGGGTAAACTAGAGATGAGCAATCCGTCCCATCACGGCTCCCGTTGAAGGACAGCTGACCGGGTCCAGTTGGTTGGCACCGGGCCCCAGGTCTCAGGGAGAGCCCCTCTGTGCTGTTCCAGATTTCCTCAGCCCAGGCTCGCAGAAGGTGGGTGCCAGTGAAGTTGGTCCTAAATGGATGAATGAGCCATGTGTCTGAAAGGAGAGCAAATTGGTTTTAATTGTGGAGGAGCATATTTGAGGGCACCCAGGTCTCAGTTTGCTCAGTTCTGTAGGCGGTTGCTCCATTGAAGATTTCTGCTGTGCCCACCTATCCTCCTCCTTGCCCCACACCCTGCACCCAAACTTCCTGGAGCTGGACTAGGTAGTAAAAAATTCTGGTCAGCTTGTGGCTGCTCTAGTGTTAGTGGGTTCCTGCAATCTGTCCTGTTGTTGTCTTGCTTAGAAAACAGCGCCCCCTCCCCAAACAACACTTCCATATTGTGTGTGAGGGTTTCTGTAACCAGAAAGTCAACATATTAAAGCGCAATTCATAGGGGAGTTGCTGGCTGTGTTGACTGAGCTTTACAGTCATTTTAACACTGGCAGAAGTGTTATCCTAACTGCTTTAAATCAAACTGCAAAGATGCTTGTGTGAAATATAGTATTAGATATCAAATCAAACATATGGGTGTTGAACGGAAGGATGTGTGTTGTAGTGGTATATGGTATTCTAGCATGTGGAGTTGTATTTTATGGAAATTCGTTGGCTTGGCTTGTGGCAGGGACATACATTCATTATGAGATATCAAGCTGTAAAATAAATAAAAGCAAAAAATTCAACTGTGCTGTTAAATGGCTTTCAATGCAGACTTTTCTGCTCCAACAACTTAGGCTCTGTGTGATGAGAGGTACTGTGAGACATTGTGGTCACATTTATTCTCGTCCTTTTTGGTAGATGTTGAAAATAATCTGGATTGGATTGAAAGAAATATAGGAACTTTAACTTTTTCATTTTTTTCCCCCTTTTACCCCATTGTATGTGTTAGGAATTACTGTGCTGATTTTTCTGAGAGGCTAAGGGTTTTACTCCTTTCATCTTTTACCATTTCATCTGTGTCCTCATTCAGCGTTTCTATAGTGGGGTTGGGTTTTAGGTGCGTATCTGGTGCTCATCATTAATTTCGTAAGTGTGTCTGCCTATGGGGCTCCAGTTCTTGAAGTTCTCCAGTGGGCCGTATTGTGGTATGAAACAAAATGACTGTGCCATTCTTGTCTCTAGAGTACATTTTGCTGTCCTGATATCTTGTTTTTCTTTTCCTTTCCTGCTCTCTCTTGAAATTACAGAAAGAGGCAATAGATTTCTCATTTTAAAAAATTCAAAAATACTATCCATGGTATATTTACTGCATGAGGAAGGATTTTCCTCTAAACGATGCTTTCAGGCATTTTTAGGCTGATGTAAATTAGAGATGGAGAAGATTGGTTGAGGCCATTTTTGTCTATACCTCTGGTATTTACACTGTCATATGCCTTGCTTTACATTGTTACCTGTTTTATCAACTAAGAAAATGCCATCCTTAGCAAAAATAGTAAATAAAATTGATAATTTAACTGGTATGTATGTGCTGTAAAGGCAGTTGGTATATTCTGACTTTTTTATTCTGAACTTAGAAACAAACATATACCATAATAAAGCATTCCCAACCACAAGCCTCCTATAAAGTATTACTGAGTTAACCTGGACTATTTGAGTTCATTTTAATTTTCACTGTTACGTGGGAGTGGATTTCATATCATGCGTCTCTTTCTTAGTAGAGGCTATTTTTTAGTCTCAGTATTTAGCACTTCCTCCCTACTCCGTCTTTATGGTATTATTCAATAGTTTCTATCTGATAGAATATGATGGTTTTTAAAGGCAAAGTCAGATTGCCTTTTGACTTCATTGATAGTATGTGAATAGAAAGCAGCATGTCAATTTGTCTAATGAAGAGAGGATTACAAATACTGAGTTTAGTTGCTTGGCAGAGAACCCCCTTCATGTTGCCGAATTGAAACCATATTCAATTTCATTTAATTGCACATTTTGACTTTCTTATTTGCTTTGCTTGACTTTTTGACAGATGCCTCCTCAGTATGGACAGCAAGGTGTGAGTGGTTACTGCCAACAGGGCCAACAGCCATATTACAGCCAGCAGCCGCAGCCCCCACACCTCCCGCCCCAGGCGCAGTATCTGCCGTCCCAGTCCCAGCAGAGGTACCAGCCGCAGCAGGTGAGCACAGCGCACTGGCCCGCAGGGCCCTGTTTTCTCCACCGAGGCAGACCCGGTTCTGAAACATCTTCCTGTCCTTTATTAAAAATTATATTCTCAGTGGAAAAAAAATTAGTTTTGAGAAAATGCACAACTATAACCTAATTTAACCCCATCTCTCCCTCTTTGTCTTTTCCCCTTCTGAGATTGGAGGGTGAGAAGAATGACTGGTTTAATAGCTGTTTGCATTATTGGTTAGTGGCAGTAGAAAGTTATCAGTCATTACTTGTTCCCTGTCATTTGTGTTCTGAACCTTTCAAGAAAGCACTCTGCCACTTTATTAAGGCTTATTCAGGAGAAGGATTTTATCAATCATTTAATCCTTGTAGTTGGCACATGCATGGTATTTTTATCTTGACCTTTGTTTTGTTTTGTTTTGTTTTAATGGTAAGTGTTACTGTGTGAAAACATTGTTGCCTTTGACTGTGTTATTCTCTTTAAACTCGCTTATAAGTAGATATTCACTTCAGTTGCAATATATTAAAATACTAATTGGAATCATGTACTTTAACTATGTCAAGCAGTTTCTAGTTTAAAATACTCTTTTAGGTTATTGGGTTATATATTTCAGTTCACAGAATTTTTAGAAAAATAGTATATATGTTATGTGATAAAATGATTCAGTTTCCTTATGTTTTAGAGACTGTCACTAATGAGTGACATGAAAAGGAGTAGTGAGTGAGGGACTCTTACTCTGAATCCAGATAAAATGTTCATAGCACATCCAATCATAAGCATCAAAATAAAATTTTCCGACCGGGTGCGGTGGCTCAAGCCTATAATCCCAGCACTTTGGGAGGATGAGGCGGGTGGATCACGAGGTCAGGAGAAAGAGACCATCCTGGCTAACACGGTGAAACCCCGTCTCTACTAAAAATACAAAAAATTAGCCGGGTGTGGTTGTGGGTGCCTGTAGTCCCAGCTACTCAGGAGGCTGAGGCGGGAGAATGGCTTGAACCCAGGAGGTGGAGCTTGCAGTGAGCCAAGATCGCGCCACTGCACTCCAGCCTGGGCGACTGAGCGAGACACTCTGTCTCAAAAAAGAAAATATATATATATATGTGTGTATATATATATATGTATACACACACACACACATATATATAGTTTTCCACTTTAATACTTTCTTCCTTCTCTTTTGTGTGGTGAGGTAGCAAAGAGAAGATGGACACGTAGCGTCGACTTTTTCCTTTTTGAAGGACTTCTTTTGTTGCTTGAATAGATCGTGGATATTAAGCAATATAAATAAATTTATGGAGCTTAATTTTAATTAGTTTGGCTGGTTTCTTAAATATTTTCTTGGGTTTGTTGGAGTCCACTTCCATGTGACTTACCAGAGAATTCTGAACAGAGTTTATGACTTTAAGCAAAACATGTTAAAACAACAGCTAGGATTTGAGACCCAGTACAGTCTTGTTTTCACATACATGTTTTTAAAAGCTTGAACCCGGGAGGTGGAGGTTGCAGTGAGCCGGGATCGCTGTACTTCATGCCAGCCTTGCAACAGAGCAAGACTCTGTCACAAAAAAAATGTGGTAACATATGGGGTTTATAGCAGTAGGAATGTACATCATTTCATAGTTACCTGGTCAAATCTTTTATTAAAGTGTATGAAAATTTTAAAACACTTTAATATAATTTCTTTTTAGATGAGAGAGGCTGGTATCTGGAGTTTTGATAAAGTTACAACCTTTTTCAAGGGGCTTTCAGAGCCTTATTGAACATATCTGTAGACCCAGAGTGTTTTGTCGTGTCATCAAAATTTAAGGACTCAATAGATAAATTATATTACTCATTTGACTGTAGTATGCTGAAATGAATCTCTGATCATAAAACCAATTTGATTAAGGATTCTGAATGCCTGTCATTTTCTTCAAGACCAAGCTCAAAATTTACTTCCTTTAAAAACTATTCACTGATGACTTCTAGCACATGGCAATTAGTTATAAATATCTTTCATATTTAAATATTTAAAGCATCCTACAGGTAAAATCTTAATGAATATTATTTTAATGTGCTTAATTTCAGTCTATCTTATGCTTTGATTATTACTATCATTATTTTATTGATTTGAATACAATAAATTGTATGGTAAGATATATTCTATAACCATGACTTTTTAGTGTAATTGTAGTAATTTTTGCATATTCTGAATAAAACCAAACATTGCTCAGAATACATTGGAAATTTGTTCTTGGGTTCGTACTCCCTAACTATAAAATGTCTGAGTTATATTCATTGTGGGGTAGAGAGGTGAAAGTTGGAGACGTTTAGGTGCCCGCATCGGATGGTCTGCTTCGACAGGAACAGTCTTGGATTTTAGGGAGTTGGATGGCCAGATAGATTTGGAAAGTTTTTCAAAAAAATGATACCTGGCATTATAGATATATTTAGCACCTCCAAAACCTAAATAATCTATCCTGAAACAAAGTAAAAATTACCATTAAAATATTATCAAAATCAAGCTAAATCTTAATAACACTGAATTCATATACCTTTAAAAACTTAAGAAACAACCATATTTAGTTTAACCAGCCAGTATTTCATAACGACCAGAACATTTCTTTATGCAGTCTTTCCTTTTGTTTTCAAATGTGGTTTACGTAATCTCTTGCTTTTGCATAAGATAGTCAGTTAGCAAGTATTAGTAGTACGTAGTGTCTTGTTAATGCGATTGATACAGATGGTAATTTTAGGGTTCCATCAAGATACCTCACATTGTGTGTCTTCAATATTTTTCATATGTTTAATATTTTGGCTAATCAATACATTCATTGGTTTCAAAAAATAAAAAGTACAAGGAAGGGATTCTGAGAAAAGTCTCTTCCCATCTTAGTTCCCTCTGCCCACGTCACCACCCCTGTTCTTGACTGGATGACCATTTATAGTTTATTGTATGTTTTTTGAGTTTCTTTATATCAAGAAGCACAGCACCGTATTTTTATTTTTCACCCTATTTTTACACAGATGATGGTGTATATATAGTATATACTATATGCCTTCTTCCATGTATTTTTTTTTCTCATCCCCTTCTTTTACTCACTTAGATATATTTTCTGGAGATCTTTCCAAAGGAGCACATACAGCAGTCCCTCCTTTTTTTTTATAGCTTCATTACATTTTATGGACACACCATGATATATTTAATCAGTTCTTTTTGAGGAACATTTAGATTAGTGCTGGTTATTTGAATTGAAACAATGATGCCATGCTAAACTTTGTGTAGGTGTCATTTCATATGCGGGCAGTAATATCTGCAGGATGAATTCGGGAAGCCACAGTGCCGGGCAAAGGGTGTGTGCATTTGCATTCCCAGTGGGTATTGCAGGTTATAGCCAATTCACACTCCTATCTGCACGTGAGAGGACTCTTCCTACATATGTGTTAGTAGCGTGATTTTACAAAGTTTCTGGATTTTTGCCAATCTGGTACATATTGAGCATTCTAAATCCCAATGTCTGAAATATGAAATGCTATAAAATCTGAAACTTTCTGGGTGCCAACATGACCCCGCAAGTGGAAAATTCCATACCTGACCTCATGTGATGGGTCACACTCAAAACACATGTAAAACATCGTTTCAGTCGCACAATTATTTTAAAATATTGCATAAAATTGCCTTCAGGCCATATATGTAAGACACATTTGAAACATAATGAATTTCATGTTTAGTCTTAGATTCCATCTCTAAGATATCTCGTTTGTGTATATGCAAATATCCCAAAATCTGAAACACTTCTTTTTCTAAGCATATAGTTTTAGTTTACATTTATCTTGTTATGAGTAATGTTGAGTGTTGTCTTGTGTATTTAAAAGCATTTGTGTTTCCTTTCTCCGGAACTGTAAATTTATATATTTTTAATTTGAATTTTCTCTCTTCAGTTGTTGGTCTTTAAAAATAATTTTAAAAACCCTTTGTATATTAGGGAGACTGGGCCTTTGTCTGTAATATGAGTTATTAGCTCCAGAGGCAGAATCAATAGAGTAGAATAATAGAATAGAATCAATTGTGCTCACACGTGCATGTGCGTGGACACACAAATACACACACACACACACATACACACACACACACACACACACACACACACACACACACACGGAGATTTATTATAAGGAATTGGCTCATATGCTTACGGAGTTTTCATTTCCGAAACCTGCAGTATGGGCTGGCAGGTGGTGAGCCGATGGTCTGATGAAGTCAAAGGCAGCTTGCTGGGTAATTCCTTCTTGCTTAGATGGGGCTGGTCTTTTGATTCTAGTTAGGCCTTCAAACTAAATGGATAAGGCCCACCCACATTATGGAGAGCAGTCTGTTATTCTCAGAGTCTCCAGTTGAAATTGTTAATTTCACTTACAGTACCTTCCAAGATCACGTGTAAAATTAACCATTGCAACTATCTTTCCCCATCAACTGGAGATGCCAGTAAAATCATTAACTGAATTTCCTTAGGTGTATGGTGTTTGGGGTCATTTTGGGATTTCTGTTATTTTCCATTGGTTCTTCTATTATGCATTAGTACTGTACTGTTTCTCTATTGTCTTTTAGTATCTGATAGGGGTAGTATATCCTCATTATCCTTCTTTTTCAGTTGTTGGTTTTCTTTTTCCTTTTGCTATTTGTATGTGCTTATTTTTTCACATAAACTTTTTCTTTTTTATCACACTATGTTCTAAGAATTTTATCTTTTGTTATTGTTATAATGGGATCTTCTGTGAAACAGGGTACTTGGAAAAGAATAACGATAAGACACGCAGAAGCACTTTACTTGAATAGCTTTTTCCTTTTTGGAGCCCTCTGACCAAAGATGAGAAATATCCCTGTAATAAAAAGATGGGTTTGTTTAGCTCAGGTGGCTGCAGGCCAGGGAGGATGCTGTCCTGAGGAGCCCCAGGAGCACTGTGGAAACAGGGAGGTGGGGCTGTAGGAGGGTTGGGGTGTGTGTTAGATGAGTCTAAGA